CTCATTCTGCGAGGACGATAGACATGTTTCCTTTTTATGTTCAATCTTTCAGTTTATGTTTTGCTAGAGTTAGTTGGGGGCATGTCCCAGCATCTCTAGTCAGTTATAGGCTTATGTTCAGACATAGTTATATTCAGTTTTAGATTTGAGTTTAATCTATCAGTTGTTATTGAACACTCAGTTTTATATATTCAGACTTAGAATGCGTATTCCCCAAAATTTTCCTTTATATCATGTTCAAGCTTCCGCACAGTATTTTTATGTTCAGTAAATCTTTAAGTATGCTTATGATATACAAACAGGGTTAGCTTGGGGTCACTCGTGATCCTAGGTCCTGTGTTAGAGCAAGGGGATCTCCTCGGGGTGTGGCAGTATGTCACCAAAATAGTCACCGTCTGTATTTTTTTTTTTAAAATTGTCTAGGTCGGTGTTCTAAAATTATTATGTTGTTCTTTTTGTCTTTTTTTAGTAGTACCTAGTCTTCCACATGTACCATGGCTGCAAAAGAGGCCCTCGTTTACTATAGAAAAGGCAAATCAAAGTTGGTTTCCCCCTCGCATCGAATTATACATGATTCTAGTGGAGAAGAGTACATACTGGGGCTAAGAAGACCCCCCCCCCCACATGCCCCTATGAGCACAGGGTGCCAGAATAGGCAGGCGGTTGTATCTGATGAGGACAATCCCTTCTCCACCACCCCCGTAGTTGCCCCTAGTCTTAGGAGGGGGCCCTACATGCTGATGAATCGCAATCAAGCTCTAGTTCTAGAATTAGACCAACCTCTACCTTCAAGTACACTAGCTTCGGAAAGGCTCATGGCCCTCTTGGCATACCCATGTACCCCTTAATAAATACCACCAAGCCAAACAGGCGTTGTGTCGAGTGCCAGTACCCGATATACTATGATGGGCAGGAACCGGAACGAGAATCAGAGGCAGACCCAAACCATTTCTGAGGAGTGTAGGGTACATAGAGATAGCCTCCACATTGTGGCCACTATTGAGGAGATATTCAAGAATCACTAGTGTTAGTGGATGCCACAAAGCTTGGGGAAATTCAGCGAGGAGATGGCCCGAGTTTTATGCCTCCTAAATGGGCTAAGCCATTATCTCAACCCCCACTTCAGGCTACTGTGGTACGAAATATTTCTGTTGATATCACCGAGACCACTATCAACCGGTTCATTTATTGCCTAGATCAAACTCTGCCAATTATTACAGTGGAGTATGACTACATGATAGGTTCAGAATGGGGAATTCCAAAGGGATGCTGATAAGTGAGAGAATTTACTCCATTGGATGGCACGCCATATTACCGATGGGGGGGAGCATAAAAAGTGGGTTCATGATGAGTCCACAAATTGGACTCATTTAGGGCTATATTTTGATAAAATTAGTGTCCTCAAATGCATATTTTGTCTCAATATCTGATGAAAATCCTTAAGTTTCAGGTATTTGGAGTTTGAGGCAAAGCATGGACACTACTTGGCAAGAAGGAACAAGGCGGCTGAAAAGAACAAAGAAATGAAAGCCTGAAGATCACCGAGCCTACTTTGTAAGTCACCAATTGGCCTGGAGATCTCCTTTTTTACCTGTGTGTTGAGCCTGAAGGGAAAGATCAAGTTGGCGATGAAATGGAGCAGTTGGTACGTCGCTGAGCAGTTCCGTGAAACAGTACCATATCGCCCAATGACTCAAAATGCGAAGAGGATAAAGGATAAAGCAATAAGGTGAATAAATCGACTAGAAGGTGGATCGCCGAGCGTATCAGCGATCTCGACTAACTGCACCTAATGGTCCTCCGCAGCACAAATTTTAAAACACTATAAATACTTGTTTTAATCAAATCAAACTAAACTTCTATTATTCTAACTTTTTAATGTTTTTGAGAGAGTCTAAGTTTTAGAGGGTTTTGGAGACTTTGTTCTAAGACCTTGACGATTCAAAGGGTTTCAAATCCACGAAATTGGACGTGGGTCTCGAAGATTGTTCACTCTTGACGTGTTTTAAGATTTAATTCTTCATACCTAGTTGATGGAAACTAATATTGGTATAAATTTTATCTCTTTTACATGTCTAGCTAAAACCTCAATTATTGGGGTGTGATTTTGTGAATATGGGTTAGATTATCTGTTGGGTCTTGCTTGTAGATGGTTTATTTGTTATTTAAATGTGATTTTATTTAGTAGTTGTGTATGAACTTAATGGAATTGTAGTTGCAAATACGATTTCATCTTAGTGTTTTTGGCTTGCTCGAGAGAGAGGTCATAAAACTAAGACTAGTAAATTGATAGCCTATGGTATTGGGTCGACATGGGTTCAACTCGATAGAGTGAATCCTAGTCCTTCTCCTACACATTTAGCTTGAGAGAGTGAATGGGATAATGCGGAGGCTGTGCTTAATGCAGCAACTCGGTGTTCGAGAGAAACCGAGTTGTTTTGGGGTAAATTGCTCGAGAGAGAACTTACCCCAACTATAGTATAGCCTAGTCACAAATACTCAACAATTTACTATCAAAAGCATGTACCGTATAGTCTAGTTTATCCCGTATTCCTATCACATCCCAAGAATCCCGTCTCTCTATCTAGTTTTCCTTATACTTTTGCTGATTTATAGTTGTTAATTAATACAAACCCCACATTAATAATTGACGCTTGCGTCACCCCTTAGATTTAGTATGTTTTTATTCATTATTATCTATAGCTATGACTAATTAGAACTAAATTTCATTTTTTTATTAATTGTCAAAACCACTCCTTTTGAGAACGATCCCAACCCTTGGTTGGGTTATATCACTACACGCGATCATTTGGCACTTGAACCAAAATAGTGTCAGTTGATTACGTTGAACATCAAAATGGCACCTGCTGCCGGGTAGTGGTGTTAGTTGAGAATTTCAGTTTAGTAAATTTTTGTTCTTCTAAGTCGTAGTTTATTTACTTTATTTTTAGTTTTGTTTTTTCTTTGAGTTGTTGTTGTAGGCAGATACCCGGAGCATGGCTGAGGGAAATTGTGGCAAATTAGCTAAGACGAATCCAGAAGTCGAGAGGGAATTCAAATTAACCTCACTGGTAACTCAGTTGAACGATTTGACCACCAAAATATCAGAGGTGGAAGACCAGTGCAAATCTCAAGGGAGGTACATCCCCCTCATGAGCAAAAAAGGTCTAGAGACAGGAAGAACAATCGTGTCGAGGACACACTACAAATCATTCTCCAAAAGATCACCGAACAAGATCGAGTGTTGGAAGAGATGAAGAAGAATATTGAAGTGTTAAATCAGATGATTGGCTCTCATTCTAGATCCATCCAGCTGATCAGGACAGTTATGAGTTATGCAGTGCCTCCTCTCCACTCAAATGAACTATTGGGGTTACATAGTAACACTAGGGCCAACCCCAATGATAGAGAGTGAGTAAGGACTTGCGTCGGGCCACGACGTTAACTAAGGTGCTTCTTGGGAGGAAACCCAAGGTCTTAAATGCTTTATTTTTGTTTTAGAAATAATGGTGTGTTGATTGTGCCGGTTAAACTGTAAAGAATATGTGGAAATTGCGTTTGGCGAACTAAAAGTTCATTCAGCGAATCGCCGAACAGGTTGGCGATCCCAATGTAAACTTCCGTTTGGACCCTCACTTTGACGGAAGGTCCTGTAAAACTCAGCGAGGTAAGTAACCACTCGGTACATCGCAGAGTAGATCGGCGAGCAATACTAACGTCGTCGAATGGACGCGAACTAGACGGTTATTAAAAGGCAAAGGTTTTAAAGTTTCAAACTCTTCACTTTCCCTCACTTTTAAGCTTCACAAACTTGCACTAAGTGAGTATTTTCAATATTTTTGCATTCCATAGGTATTTTGGTTGATTAATTGTTGCTCGGACTTTTGATTACATTGCCGCCTAGCATTTCATAGTACGTTAATTGGCATAGAAGGTTAGTTCTCCAAACCCCGAGCTTGTTTTTATTAAATTTGTACTCATTTGCAATGATCTTGTTTTAGTGATGTGTGCTGGGCCTCTCTGATTTAATTAGAACATTTGATTACCGGTTTAATCTCTTAACCTTGCCTATGATGTGTTTATCGTATGAAACCCCGTCTTTTCGTGCTAAATGTTGTTGGGCTATGTTTGTTTGTTACTTGATTTGATTGGGTGCAGTCTGATTAGCCCGTGTTTGCGCTAAATGACATAAATTGCTCAATGATAGAGCGGGTGACACCATTCTTAAGGGCCAATGTCATCAAATAGCCAAATTTGGAAAAACCGAAAGAAATCTGAGTATTTCGGGGTAATAGGTATGATGGGTCTGACCTAAATTTAACTATTGCATGTTTCAATTTTGTTTTCAGGGGTTGCGGGGTTGAATTTGAGAAGATGGGTTTAAAATAGGCACGTTGGGCCATTTGGCGAGCTGGGTCGAGCTCTCTGAACCACTCGATGACTTTCCAACTACTTCTGAGTAGTCTGTAGACTGAGCGTCGAAAAATACTTGCCGACTGCAGCAGTCGGCATTCGCCGACTACCAGAGTCACTATATATAAATTAAAACCCAACCATTAAAGTACCTGAATTGCTGTTATTGGTCACACTTTAAAAGTGTCGCCTTTTATATCTCATCTACAACAACACTTATTAAGTGTAAGTTTTCTTATGTACATGCTAAAATTTATAATCCATAAGCTAAGCCAAGTGTGGCCTTTGCTTCCTTATTGCCCACGATTTTAAAGTGTTGCCTTTTCTATCTTATGTATGACAACACTTTGAAGTGTAGTCCTTGCCCATATGCATACCACAATTTATAGTGCTTTGGCTACACTTTTAAGTGTGGTAATATATTATTTTGGCTATAAAATATTTATATGCCACAATTTCTAATTAAAAAACACCAATATTGTTTTGCAATAAATAATCTCAAACATTAAATTAGCTAATAAGTAATTCAAATATATAGAACTGCAATAAACTTCAAAAGATAGTATGTCTTGTGTACATACACAGACTTATAAAGCAATATTCTAAATATGTGTACACAATAGTTCAAAAAGTACTCTTACAATAGTTCAACATATATTCTAGCAATGAATATATTTCACAAAATCAAATATAATGTATTCAAATTTTTACAATAGTTCAAAAACTCTTCACTATCCACTTCCACTTCAATGAGATCAAATTGACTTGTGGCAACCCTTCAAATTTGATCACCTCCATTTCCCTACACATTTAAAAAGAAACTAACAATCAAAACAAACCATGTACAACAAATCAAATTGCAGCAGTTATAGAAGTTAGAGGTTTTGTTGGAGTGAAGGGTCTTGTATAATAAATGTATGAAGTTACTATAACCCAAAAAAGAGACATGAACTTCATGTCACGATCACACAAGATCAATACACTCTACTCCAGACACCAAGACAGGTAGCAGTCGCAATCACACAAGATCAATACACTCTACTCCAGACACCAAGACAGGTAGCAGTCGCAATCACACAAGATCAATACACTCTACTCCAGACACCAAGACAGGTAGCAGTCGCAATCACACAAGATCAATACACTCTACTCCAGACACCAAGACAGGTAGCAGTCGCAATCACACAAGATCAATACACTCTACTCCAGACACCAAGACAGGTAGCAGTCGCAATCACACAAGATCAATACACTCTACTCCAGACACCAAGACAGGTAGCAGTCGCAATCACACAAGATCAATACACTCTACTCCAGACACCAAGACAGGTAGCAGTCGCAATCACACAAGATCAATACACTCTACTCCAGACACCAAGACAGGTAGCAGTCGCAATCACACAAGATCAATACACTCTACTCCAGACACCAAGACAGGTAGCAGTCGCAATCACACAAGATCAATACACTCTACTCCAGACACCAAGACAGGTAGCAGTCGCAATCACACAAGATCAATACACTCTACTCCAGACACCAAGACAGGTAGCAGTCGCAATCACACAAGATCAATACACTCTACTCCAAAGAGGGGTCATGTAAATCAGGATAGCTGTCGCACCAAACAAAGCATTGAAAAAGAGGAAACTCAACTCCAACAACACCAAGACACTCTACTGCAAACACCCAGACAAGCATAAAATTGAAGTATTATTGCAGATTACAGATTTCAGATTATTGCAGATTACAGCTTACAATTCCAGATAGCGGATTCCAGATTCCTCCCAGCAGTTAGAACATTATTCAGATTTCATGAAAGTGGATGTGTAATTCATAGTTCAATACAGATGCCCAACAATTCAACAGGAAAATGAATTCAGCTGCAACAGAGTTTCAAAAGCAACTTAGAGCTCTAATCGTAGAGCTCAACAATTCAGTTGCAACAATTCAACTTTGTTTTACTTTTGGTGTAGCATGGAACTTTCAAATGAAGCTTTAATCTATCTTAGAGATCCTAGAATTCCTACAGATTTAGGTAGAGAAAAATCCCAAGATATTCTCTTGGGAACCCAGGCAGAACTGGAATTGGTGGAATTCTCATAAACTTTGAAGGAGATATCTTTTTTGCTTTTACTTCCCCTTTGGGGCAGGGTACCAACAATCAAGCTGAAATCAAGGTGGAAAAGGGGAAGATGAGACAACAAATTCTAGCAAAACAGAGTCACAATCACACAAGATCAATACACTCTACTCCAGACACCAAGACAGGTAGCAGTCGCAATCACACAAGATCAATACACTCTACTCCAAAGAGGGGTCATGTAAATCAGGATAGCTGTCGCACCAAACAAAGCATTGAAAAAGAGGAAACTCAACTCCAACAAAACCAAGACACTCTACTGAAGACACCAAGACACCAAGACAAGCATAGAATCGAAGGAACCACACAAAATACCTTTTGGAGGACTAGGAATAAATAAGAAACGAAATAGAGATAAAAGGAAAACAAGTAACATGCAGAACAAACATACTTTGGGCTTTTCATGTAGTTGTGACATCTATGAGCACCATTAGGACGAAGATGATCTTGAACTCGAGCAGCTGATTTTCCATTTTCGTAAGTCAAAAAGTAGTTAGGATTACCACGAGTTGCTTCCTTGTAGTTTCCAAAGTACATTTCTTTTGTGAGATGGTCATAATTCTTCCTGAACATCGTGACCTACCACATGATATAGATGTATTACTGATAAACAGTCTAAAAGAACTTTAGTTGCATAGTTAAAACAAATTACTGACTACGCAAACTTTCTCGAAGAAATTCTTGCTGCTATAAACAAAGAGTAAGGTCTAACACTCAAGCTACTTATATTTGCAAGGTACAATTTTACATTCTTGCCTCCACAGTGTCTAACTCCAACCCAACCTTCTTTTTCATTCGTCTAGAAAGAGATGACTCTTTGACTACTAGGTGTTGCTCCATTCTCAAGTATTGGGTAATAAAATTATCCAAATTTATTTCAATAAAATCTAAACCTATTCCTAGCCAAACGATTGAATTTAACACTAGAACTTGAAAGATAAGAAAAAATGATACAGTGAAAAGATATATTACTTCACTAAAAGGTTCCTTCACATCATCTCTCTCAACACTGCTCTCCTGAAATATTTGTCATCATCAGAGAAGGTATTAACAAGAAAAAAGACAGCAGAATATGAAAACGAAGAAAATGCATGCTTTTTGACTATTTGTGCATGTAATTACATGCTTAGACAGAGTTAGAAGACAACCTAGAGCAATCTCTATGACTTACATAGTTAGGAAATATGACCATGTCAACATCTTCAGGTATATCTGCCAGAAGTCTCCGTAAAGAATACTCACTAGTTCCAGGCTTCCAGCTGGATGCATTAGCTCATCAGTATCAAGTTGAATGATCCAGTCCACGCCAGCTTCCTGTAAAGTTACAAGGCAATGAAGTGGATCAAAAGGTAACCATAACTGGAAACATATACTATGTCCACTTTTCTAGTTTAGAGGTTCAAAAGGTGACTATTCGAAGAATGGTTTCAGCCTAATAAAATGAAGGCTAAAATGAGTGGCACTAAGCTTATATATCCTGAAATTTCTAAGCTTCCAGTCTGAATATTGATAAAATGAAGACTAAAGTGTCATAACTTGTTTCTTAGGTTGCACTGAGAAAGTTCAAATGGAAAGATTGTCGGTATCCAGCGAGTACAAAGATTGCAAGCATTGCTGACCAGGAACTGCTCCGAGAGAACGTGGTGTTTGTCATTAGAAGGAACGGACACTTATACTAGTATAACAATGTTACTGAACTATGGCATGAGCATTACCAATCTAAACATTATCAAGATCTCCTGGAACTGCAATGAGGTTATCTTCACTGTCACTGCAAGGTTCTCTTTTCATGCTTTCGGCAGATGATGGACTAGTTGAATATAATTGGAATTCGTCCAACGGATGGAATTGGATAGAACACGGAACACCAGATCCAAGTGTCATTCTTGTTGGTTCACCGGGACCATGCTTCACAGGAGCGCATCTGTTCTTAATAGGTTCAGATGGAAAAATGTATCTAAGGTTCTTGGACGATGGAGCATGGAAATGGAGAAGCTGTGGCTTCCCATATATGGAAAATGAAAAACATGTATCTGATAATCATGATCGTAAAGAAACTTGTACTTCCGATATCTTGCAGATCATTTAGAGAAAATTGAAGAAAACCTCCAAGCGTTAAACAAAAACTGTGACTCCAAGGTTAGTGTTTATTTACAATTCCTCTACTTGCTTCTTGAATATTTGGACTATGTTATACAGACTTTCCATCCCTTTGCACAATTTTGATTCCAAACATTCGAAACTACGTGATCTCACTACAAATAGCAGGGAAAAGATGACAACTCCTCTTTCACACAGATATTATCAGAAAAGGTTGTGAAGGAGAAAAACTTTCAAAAATTGCGCAAATTCGTGAGGAATATCGAAAGTACCCTACCTGAAACAGAGTCAATGAAGCCAGATGTTCTTTCTCCGAAGCAAAGAGGTGATGGGTGACCCACTTCTCAGCGGACTCATCGCTCCTGACCTACCGGACGATAACCCGCACCACCCCTTCCTCAAAGGCTGAGAAGAAACCTTGTTTTATCTCCATTTCCCAAAAACATCAAAAGTCCCAACACTTTTTTCCACCAAACAAGGAAACTTAAGGTTACCATGGATGAAATTTCCAAGTCATAAATCAGATAAACGCATAAGAATGGAGAATTGAGAATAAGTGACTTAGCTAAACTGATTGAGAAGAAACCTTTGAATGAAATTTAGGGGTTTTGTTTTTTTAGAAATTGGGGGGAAATAGAAAATATGGGGGAAGCTTATTATTTTAGCCAAAATATGGTAGTACTCTTATTTTCTGAAATTCAGGAAAAAAGTTATTGGAGGGAACTCGTTAGTTTAGCTTATTTTTTAATGAGTATTTATAGGGCACACTTATAAATATTAGGGGAAAAAATTGGCCATAGATTTCCCAAGTAATATTTGGGAAAAAATTTCGCAAATAGCGTTAGTCCGTACAATTTGTCATTAGTTGATAAATATTTTTGGCAAATTTCCCAAATTTCAATTTTATTTAGCTTAAATATTTTTGTGTGTGCATTTCCATCATTGTGCCGTATGTTTTAAAATTAAACTTTCATCTTATATAACTTAAAATTAAACTTTCATCTTATTTAGCTTAAAATAAAATGTTCATCTTATTTAGCTTAAAAGTAAGATTTTCATCTTATTTAAGCTTAAAAATAAAACTTTCATCTTATTTAGTTTAAAAATAAAACTTTCATCTTATTTAGCTTAAAAATAAAACTTTCATTTTAAGTTTATTAAAGTAAAAGAAAATTTATTATTAAAGTTATCCACATTTTAATTATCGATCAAATATAATTATTAATTGAGTAATAAAAAATTTAATGAAAATTATGTAATTTAGTAGTAAAGTGAACATTTGAAGAGAAATCAAAATATAAATAAACATAATAATTACCCAAATAAATTCAGCTTATGATATAATCATAAATTTAAAAAAATTGTATTTATAAAATGTAAATTTTTAATAGAAAAATATATTTATCATAAAAACAACAAATAATTAAGGTTGTACAGGCGAGTCCCAATTATAGAATCTTTTAATGGGTAAAGATAACAAACGGGTCAAGACCCACCCCAATTCAAATTTGCTTGAGTCAAGTCCGGTAATGAGTTATAGAACGGGTCAAAAACTCAATCCAACCCAAATTTTACTATGTTTTACTTATTTTATTGTTCTTTTACAATATTTTAGTACCTAATAAAATTATTATTTTTCTTTATAATTGCTATATATAACATATTAAATTTTTAAGAGAAAATACATTAAAAAAACCCTGAACTTTGTCGGATAACTTGCTTTAGTACTTAAACTACACGGGCGTTTAAATACCCCCTTAAGATCTTTGAAGTGATTGTTTTTCCACCCTGAGACTATAACACAACTTTCACCCGCCACATCATAGCCACGTACGCGCCACATCATAACTATGTAGGCACCATGTCATTACTCTTTATTTCTTTTTTACTTATTCACTATTTTTTCTTAAACACTTTTTAAAATTAATTATATCAATTGATTAATTTATAAATGCATACCCCCACCCCCTCTGTTTCTTCTTCCTTGTTGTTCACCATTATTCCAACCTTCAATACTTTCTTTTCTTCTTCTTCACTATTCAACAATTTAAGAGGGGTATATAAACGCTCGTGTAGTTTAAGTACTAAAGTAAGTTTTTGTGCCAAGTTCAGGGGGATTTTATGTCTTTTCCCAATTTTTAAAAAAGTTCGTTAAGAATATTTTGACAAGATTTCTGTTGATTCAATATTTATTACATATCACCTAAATTTTAATGGATTGAAATGAGTTAACCTAATAAATAAGCGGACCAATAACCCATCCAAACTTAAACGGGTTGGGTGAATGGGCTTAATTTTGCCAATCATAACTTTTGGCAAGCTATATTGTATAATCAGTGTTAGGGTGGAAGTTCGAGATTTCTAAATTTTGAATTCAATAACTCAAAATTGGTAGTTAAAAGTAGATACCAAATATCAATTTTTTAAATTTCAGTTAGGTATTTGGTATTTGGTATCTGGTATCAAGTAAAACTTTTTTCATTTTGTATTTCATTTGTAACTCAAATAATATCATTACTAAATTGTGATTCTGAATTTATTCTCTTAGATATAATAATTTGAGTATTACCTTTAAAACTAAAATATCCACAGGAAAATTTTGTATTTTATTTTAATTTTAAAATGTTGCTTGAGAATATCTCTTTGATTATTGTTTTATTATTTTTGCCATTATATATAAGTATGATATTTTTCATATTTCTAAACAATTTCTTATATGAAATTTAAACATTTATCGGCTTACATTAAAAAAATTATTTACTACTTTTTCATTTTCTTGTTCATATGTAGCGTTATTGTGTTAACATTTTGTCATGTGTGTGTTTTTTTTTAAATATTTGTTCACAACTCTATTTATTTCTTATCATACTTTTATTTAATTAATCAAGTATTCTACGTGATGATGGAATCTGATTGATGATTGCACTGCACAAACAAAGAAGATTAGTGAAAGAAACAGGGAATACATACATGTTTGAAATATTTTTTATTTGATTTTTTTTGTTTTTTATAAAATAATTTTTAAAAAATAATTTTTGTCAAAAAAACATACGTAAGATATTTAGAATTATTCCTTATGATTATATATTATGTTATATATTTATAAAAATATGTTTATAATTTGTCGATTCCGTTTCGTAATATTTTGATTTTTTAAAAAACAATCAAAACTAATTCAAGTAAAATATTATTGGTATTTTAAAATGTAAGTTTGAACCTATTTGTAGGAATAAGATTAGTTAATATTTGAAATTCAAATTTTAAATTGATTATTTAATGGTTGTGGGTTCTTTTAATTTATTTTTTTTGGATTGGAAGTTTTTTGTTTATATTATTAACTAAGGTTTGTTATATGGATATAATTTAATATAATTTAAAAAATGAAAAAAACACAACCCCATTTAATGTATGAAGATCCACAATTTTTAAATTATTTTATAATTTTTTTTGATTATCAGTTTTAATTTTTTTTATATTACTAATTTAAAATAAATTTAGAAAAAATAAAAAAGAAACTACCCCATTTAAAAATAAAAAAATCACACTTCTTCCTTCTTCTTTTTCTAAAATTAAAAGTGAGGCCCTTTAAACCTCATTTATTTAAATCAAAAAGAGAATATATCATCAAAACAAAATTAAAAAAAAAAAAACAAGAGGCTGAAAGAGAAAGGCAAAACCAAATTAGGCAACCAAAGAAGGACATAGAAATTGATCTTCTTCCATCTCTATGCCACCGCCACTAATGATCTCCAAGCACCAGTCGCTCGCCGGATATCAACTTCCCAATGTCGTATCTCCATCATTTCAGCTGCTTCCACACTCAAAATTGACTCCGGAGATCGGAATCTATGGAGACCTCCCAATTTGAGAAAATGCTACTCTTGTGTGCTGCTATAAAATGCTCCAGGTATGACTTGAAAAACATTATATATGAACTAGAACTCCTTTTCTCTAGTCTAATCATTGATGGGTTGAATCCCACAAAGAGATTAATTCCACGATCTAAATTTAGAACTTTGAATTGGAAAACTAACTCATTATTTCTTATACGATTTATGGGTTTGCAAAAATTTTGGATTGGATCTGTAGAGGACGCATATAGGAGCTATTAATAATCGAATACACCACTAAGAACTTCGGAGTCTTGATTTCGTACCACTTTGGACACCCATATGCTCTCACCAGGTGCATGGTACGGTTGGTTACCGAAATAGCTTCAGACTTTAAAAGTTTGCTAAAGTTATGCATCAATTGTAAACTCCTTCATGCTTCTTATCGGTACTTGTATATCTTATTGTTGTGTAGTACTTGTGAACTAGATAATCTAATTAGTACCTGGCGAATCTGTCTGCTTGATTCTTATGCATGTAGTGTTACATTTTTCTAAATTTATTATCTTATTGGCTGTTGTTGGGACTTCATGGAAAGAGTTGAACTCATAATTACCTGCAAAAACAAAAACTAGGTTAGCAAAAAAATCAGCAAGAGTATTTCCCTCCCTGAAGGAGTGTTGTACTCTTACTGATATATAATTTCTGATTCTATTGAT